TTGATTCAGCAATTCCTCTACTGGGAATATACTATCAAGAAACCATAACTGACACCCAAGCATACATATGCACACCCATGTTTATTGCTGCTTTGTTCACAATAGCAAAGAGTTGGAAACAAGCCAAGTGCCCATTAACAAAGGAATGGATAGAAAAGCTGTGGTTTATTCACACAGTGGAATATTATGCAGGACTGAAAAACAAAGAACTCGTGAAATATACCAAATGAGTGACCATGGAGGACATTATGCTGAGTGAAATATCTCAGTCACAAAAAGACAAATACTGCATAATGACACAGTTATAAAACAGGACTGACATTGGGGGTGGGGGGAAACAGAAAAGAGGGGGTAAACAATGACATTGGGGGTGGGGGGAAACAGAAAAGAGGGGGTAAACAATGTACAGTCATTGAAACAGACAAGGGAGAGAAATGAATAAAGGGAATATATGATTATGTATTATTGGCATAATAATTGGCATATTTGAGAGGCTGGGCCCTATGAGGAGAATTGTGGCATCAGGATTGGTGGAAGATCTATTAACAATCTCTGTTATGCAGATGACACAACCTTGCTTGCTGAAACTGAGGAGGACCTCATGCACTTGCTGCGAAGGGTCAAGGACTGCAGCCTTCAGTATGGACTAAGGCTCAACGTCAAGAAGACAAAGATTCTCGCCACTGGACCAATTGGCAGCGTCAGGATGGATGACGAAGAGATTGAGAGTGTTCACAGCTTCGCTTTGCTCGGCTCCACAGTCAACACTCTTGGTATCAGCAGTCAGGAAATCAAAAAGCGTATCGCGATGGGAAAGTCTACCGTTAGGGACCTCTCAAAGGTACTCAGGAGCAACAGCGTCTCTCTGGAGATTAAGGTGCACCTGATACAGGTCATGGTATTTGCAATCACTTGTTATGCATCAGAGAGTTGGACAATGACTAGGGAGGACAGAAGGAGAGTGGATGCTTTTGAGCTGTGGTGCTGGGGAAGGGTACTGAATGTACCATGGACTGCCAGGAAAACAAACAGATTCATCTTGGAGAGGATTAAACCAAGCTGCTCCTTGGAGGCAAGGATTCTGGGGCTTCGTCTGGCATACTTTGGACATGTTGCCAGGAGAGACGGGTTCTTGGAGAGGGACATCATGCTTGGGAGGGTGGAGGGACAGCGCAGGAGGGGAAGACCCTCTATGAGATGGATTGATTCGGTGACTGGGGTAATCGGGATGGGTGTGTCAGAGGCGGTGCGGTTGGCGCAGGATAGAGCAGGGTTTAGAGCTGTTGTGCATAGGGTCGCTATGAGTCGGAAACAACTCGATGGCACATAACAACAACAACAACATTATTGGCATGACAAAAGTCCAGAATTAGAGATGCATAGTAAACTGGACTCGGGAGGAGGACCGTAATAACAATGAAACAATTTTTTTCCCAAAGGAAAAAGGGAACTGGGGGCGGGAGGAGGGAGGAAATGGCGCAACAATAAATGAATAGAAATTCAAGTTCTCAAAATAAAAATAAAAATTAAAAAAATTTAAAAAAATTAAAAAAAACAGAAAAAGAAGAAATTCAAGTTCTCGATAATCTCATTCAAATATCAATAAAATAAGACAAAAGAAAATCTACTGTTAGGGACCTCTCTACAATACTGAAAAGCATCAATGCCAATCTGGAGATTAAAATGCACCTGATCCAGGCCATGGTCTTTGTAATTTCTTGCTATGCATCAGACAGTTGGACAATGACTAAGGATGATAGAAGAAGAATCAATGTCTTTGAATTGTGATGCTGGAGAAGAATGTTGATCGTAGTGTGAACTGCCATGAGAACAAACAGGTCTGTCTTGGAGAGAGTGAAACCAAGCTGCTTCCTGGAGGCAAGGATATTCTATCTCACAAACATTGAGCATGTGGCCAGGAGGGACCAGTCCTTGGAGAAAGACATCATGCTTGGAAAGGTGGAGGGACAGCACATGGGAGGAAGACCCAGTCTGAGATGGATTGACTCAGTGACTGGAGAAATGCGATTAGGTCCGTTGGAGATGAGAATAGCTCATGATAGGGCAGGGCTTTATAATGTACAGGGTTACTGTGAGTTGCAGGTGACTAGATGGAACAAAACAGTAACAACATCAATGTGTTGCTTGCTAGTCAGTTGTGAAATTTTTCTTTTCTTGTTTTCTTGTTAATGATGCTTAATTGATATTTACAATTTTTATATTCTTTAAGGTATATGCTTCAAGTTTTCGTCATTTTCTTCAAGGAAAGTTTAGAATTTGAATAAAGGGCAATCTCTTTCTGTGTGATTAAGTGCCTCTGTGATTAACTGCCTCTGAAAACCCTCCAGAGGGTCAGCTATGGGTCAGTTCTGACTCTACAGTACACAACAGGAAACAATAGGTTGTTGATAAGCCTTCCATCAATTCTGATGTCCCTTTCTTTTTCATATAATCCATCTTTTAAAACTATTTTTTCAGCATAGTTTGAGTAAATATAGAGAAAGGATACAACCCTGACACACATCCTTCATAATTTTAAACCAAACTCTTGTTCTGTTTGGACAATTATTGCTGTATAGGTTTCACATAAGCACCATTGTTATTGTGTTGTTATGTGCCATCAAGTCATTTGCGACTCATAGCGACCCCATGTACAAGAGCTCTAAACCCTGATTTCAAAGGGCAGCTTGAGAAGACAAAGCAAATTATTATAATGAAATATGCAAAGAACTAGAGTTAGAAAACTAAAAGGGAAGAAAATACTCGACATTTCTTAAGCTGAAAGAGTTTAAGAACAGATTCAAACCATGATTTATAATACTGAAAGATTCTCTAGGCAAAATATGGTATTATACAGGGAGTATTAAGAGAAGATGGAAGACAATGTCACTGTACCAAAAAGAAGTAATCAACTCTAAAGCATTTCAGGAAGTTGCATATCATGAGGTACTGAAGGAAGAAATCCAAGCTGCACTGAAGGCCTTGACAAAAAAATAAGACCCCAAGAATTGATGGAATACCATTTCAAGTGTTACAATAAAGAAATGTAGCTCTGGATAGCCTCACTAACCAATGCTAAGAAATATGGAAGACAGCTATCTGGACAACCTACTTGAAGAGTTCCAAATTTGTTCCCATTCTTAAAAAGCGCTATCCAACAAAGTGTAAATGTTATTGAAAATATCATTAAATCACATACAAGGAAGATCTGCTAATACAACTATTATTCAAATATATGCACCAGCCATAAAGGCCAACAATCAAGGAATTGAGGAAACCCTTTAGAAGGTTCAGCGAGGTTCTAACTTGATGGCTCATAACAACAACAAATTCAACTTTTGCAGTCTGAAATTGATAAAAAATCCAGTCAAGATGTGTGTGTGAGTAATAATTGTGATTGGAATGCAAAAGTTGAGAACAAAGGATTGATAATTGGAAAATATAGCCTTAGACTGGAGATCCCACTCTATAATTTTGTACAATTCATTGCAAAACACCTTAAACATAAAACAGTAAAAAATACTAAATTTCTTTTATACACATGGACTTCAATTGATGAAATACACAGGTGTTAGCTTGACTACATTTGTATAAAGAGATTCTGGAGAAGTTATATATCAGTAGTAAGAGCATGACAAGAGGCTGACTGTGGAAGAGATCATTACTCATATAGAAATTCACTGTTGAAGGTATTGCCTTTCAAAAAGACAACTTGTGAACTATGGAGGACCTCAGGTTTATCTATTTCATACTTCCAGCATCCCTAGGCAAGAATCAGAATGCAGATTCACTGAATTTTGATTGTAACGAACACTAGTGACTCAGTCTATAGAGTAAAGCTGTTAACCTAAACGATGGCAGGGTTGATTGACTTTACCAGTAAGTCCGCAGGAAAAAGGTCAATCTTCTATCATTTGTTGTTGGTACCTGTCATTGAGCCAGAATTAACTCATAACTGGCCCTCTAGCTGTTTTTCAGACACTGTAAATTGCAAGGGAGTTCGCCCATTTGTCTTTCTCGCAGCAGCTGGATGATTCTAGTTTGGGAGCACACCTCTGGGTTCGCATCTCCAACTCTTTTGCGTTAGGTCACCAGGAACTCCGAAAACTCGCTGTAGGGTCAATTATGATTAGGTGAACATCAAGACAATGGCAGTGAATTGAGTTGATTTTGATTAGTCTCTGAACTAAGCACATTCACACTCATTTTAATTTTCTTCATACTGCTCTCATTCAACTCAGAGAGAGAGCAAAAGTAAAGCTAATACGTGTAATTCTGGGCATGGTATGTTAGATGAGAAGAAAGACTTAAATTTTTTGTTTATGGCAAAGGGCTCTGGATTAGCAGAGTTAACTACCCTATACTAGTTTGAGAGCTCCTTTGAAAGTAATGATTGTGCTAGGGAATTTCATCTATTTTAGAAAAGCAGTTACTGGTGACGGTGACGTAATTTTAAAGAATTTCGCTGCCTATGCACAGGTCCCCGGTCCAATTCAACAGCCACTGAGGACACAGATACTGCAGTTGGGTTCCTTGTAGATTTCTTTCCTTGCCCTGCAGGGTCTCCATGAGTCTGAATAGACTCGACGAGAATGGGTTTGGTTATGGTTACCATCCTCGCTTTAACTCAACCTTTTGACAGAAACTGTGTGAAATTAGCCACTGAGCTCCCTTCCTGTGAAGAGGATAACTGACCGCCCAGTGCAATCGTTTAAATAAGGCGCTGCCGTCTCATTGGTTAATGACTGCTGTAGCCCTGTGATTGGCTTTGTGGCCAAGAGGGCGTGGTCTGGAGGCGCTCATTGGTGGAGGCGGGAAGTTTAAACGGAGACACTAGACCTTTTTGAGTGCCAATTTGCGTGGCTTGTTTCTCTTTTCCTCTAGTGTCCGGCACTGGGAAAGAAAGTGGGAGAATTAGCTTTCTGGACCTTTACAACTGACCGTGAGGAGAAGTGGTCTTCAGCCTCCTGGGAGGTGCGAGCAGGGTCTCGGAAACTGCCATGGCGACCTGGTCTGGGGGGCGAAGCTTCTGGGAGCTGAGCCCGGGGGATCAGAGGACACCCAAAGGGCTGCGAGGCCTCCGGACCAAAGAAGAGGCGGCTTCCCCGCCGGTTCTTTCTCTCAGCCACTTCTGCAAGTCACCTTTCCTCTGCTTCGGAAATGTTCGCGTGGGAGCATCTCGGACCCTGTCTCTGACCCTAGACAATCCCAATGAGGAGGTCGCTGTCGTGAAGGTCTGCCGTTTCCCTGCAGCAGACCGAGGCTTCAGTATCTCTCCTTGCTCTTTTGAGCTGCAGGTAGGTCGTGGGAAGGGCACGCGCCCGGTCACAGCCACCTTCTTTGCCATCTTTCTTGACATCCAGGTCCATAGGGGTGTGGCTTGAAAAAGGTCCTTAGAGGATGAAATAAATTTCTTTTCATTACTGGAGTACTAACTACTTGGTTCCTATATAGGATGAGAGGGTCAGCGGCAACTTGGATAGCGACAACAGATTAATGTGCACACGAAAAATCTTTATATCATTTATAGAGAGGCTTGGTAGCCTAGCAACTTGGTTAACCCAGCGGCTAACCTGAATGTCCTGTGTGTCATTGTTCTTTCCTAAAGATCGCAGCCTTGAAACCTCATGAGACAGCTACACCTTGTCCTATAGGGCCACCAAGAGTTCGGCTCGACTACAGTTGTTTTAGTTTGGCTTTCTCTATTAAGTGTTGCTAGATCAGAGTGACTCAAGTCTGTATGACTCATGCATAATTGAATAAAACGCTGTTTGGGCGCTGGCTTCATGATCTTTTGAGATCTGACCATTGTGTTCCATTGATTGCTTTTTAATGCACATCATCTGCCATTTCTTTCCAGTAGCCTGAAACCTGTTGAATATCAAAGCAGCATGAAAAAAATTACAGTCACAGTTGGGTGATGTGCATTAGGTCCACTGACTCTTCTAACTGGCACTAAGGCAAGAATTCTACCATTGAACCACCACTGTCCCCATTCTCTTAAATAGAAGTGTTTTAAATAGATTTCAGTCATTGTGAAAGGCTTTTGCAGTTCTGAATTAATAATATAATTTTATCAGTTGTTGTTGTTATGTGCCATCATAGCGACCCTATGTACAATAGTCCTAAACCCTGCCCTATCCTGTGCCAATCTTACTGTGACACACCTACCCACATTACCCCAGTCACTGAATCAATCCATCTCATCAAGGGACTTCTCTCCCTCAACCCTCCCAAGCATAACATCCCTGTCCAAGGACTAGTCCCTCCTTGCAACATGTCCAAAGTATGTCAGAAGAAGCTTACGCATCCTTGCCTCCAAGGAACAGTCTGCTTTCACCCTCTCTGGGACAAACTTGTTTGTTTTCCTAGCAGTCCATGGTATATTCAATAGTACTCTTATTTAAGATTACTTGGAATACTTTGGTGAGAGCAGTTTTTTGAGTGTTGTTGGTTTTTTTTTTTCCCCCATTCTTCTTAAGACAGCTTTTAGTTTTCATAGGCATCCTTAGATGTGGCTAACCACCTTTTTTGGTGAAGTAGTTATGTTGTTTGCCATTTTGTCAGAACTGACCCTCCAGGTGGTTTTCAGAGGCTGCAAATCTCATGGGAGGAAATTGCTTATCCTTCTAGCACCTGGTGAATTCAAACCACATCTCTTTGGAATTGCAGTGCAGCTTTTACCATATGGCACCATCGCTCCCTACAGTTATGTTGTTGTGGTGTGCTGTTGAGTTGGAACCCACCCATAGCTGACCCTCCAGTGGATTTTCAGAGGCAGTAAACTCTCCCACTGAGCGGCTGGTGGATTCAAACTACATGCCTTTGGGATTGTGGCACAACTTTCCGCCAGGCCACCAGAGCTCCAACAGTTAAGAGTGAATCCAATTTCATTTGATAAATGTTAGTTTTGGAATTTCCCTTTATCTTTTCCCATATTGATTTTACCAGACTACTGGTCTCATTCTCTTCATCAAAACCAGAGAATTTATGTGCTTATTTTGACCACTGTAACATTTCTGTTTGAGTGTTAAGTAAAATTAGCCAGAGAGGTCGAACTAATTGACTAATAACCATTTCACAGAATAGTGAGAAGAGGTTCTAATCTGAGATCCATTGATTTGTTCATGCTTACCTCAAAACTTTACAAAAGTCTGGTTTAAATCTAGCAGCAGCTCAGTGGGGAAAAAAAAAGGACAATCTCCCGTGTGTTATTTTTTCACCTCTGAAAACCCAGTCAGCTTTGAGTATATTCTGACTCAATACAACGAGCAGTTGTTGATCTGTTTTATGAAGATTGCTTCCTTTCCTTTCTATGGAAACACATTTCTGTTTACTTCATATTGTGGAATTAAAGTATTTTATTTTTGAAGTTTTCTGTTTATTTTTAAATTTTTATAAATTGGTTTACTATTCTTTTACCAAACAACTGCTTATAATAATACCTTATAGTTTCTCTTTTAAAATGTAATGTTCAATCTTAGGCAAAAATGCAAGATAGAACATTAGATAAAAAAGCATAAGATGACTATTTCACTGACAAACTCTGAGAATCATGATTCAACTAAGTTGATAAATAACCTTGTTAAGCATCATACTCAGCATTACACTGACCTTACACCTTGGGATTAATTTCTATCAGACATGTTAATAACGCACAAATAGTTTGTTGGTAGATTTTTTTACTTTTATAAATGTGGAACATCAGCTAATGCAAAGACAAGTGAAGAGTAGATGTATTAGTAATGGTGCAAACTTAAGAAGAATTTGCAGAAGGAATTTAGTTGTGTGTGTGTGTGTGTGTGTGTGTGTGTGTGTGTGTGTGTAATTTATTTATTTATTTAATTTCATTTAATTTGGTGTACCATCGAATTGGATCTGACACAGGAGGAGTTTGCCCCTCCTTCTCTAGCAGAACATCTGGTGTCTTTATATTTTTAAAAATTTAAAAAAAATTGTAATTTTAGTGAAAATTTACAAGATGGTTGGATTTTCATTTATTCATCAATACACATTTTTTCCTCCATCCCCTTCCCTCTAATTAGATTTAATGCTACCTAACAACCCCCTCAAGTTCACTTTGTAATGCATGTCTTACTCTAAATTGTTAAATTGTTGTCCCTGTAATATCTAATCATCCATTCCTTTTAAGTAGTTCTTCCCTTGACCTATTCTAGTTTAGTGATCATTATCTATTTTCTTCCTGGTCTCCGTCCATCCATCCTGTTTTTATAACAGTGGTCTTAAGAAGTAATTGTCAATTCCTGACTGAGATATTTCATTCAGCATGTCTTCCAGGCTCACCCATGTTGTGTAATATTTTACAAGTTCATTGTTTTTTAGTGCTGCATAATATTCCATTGTGTGACTGTACCACAGTTTTTGGATTCATTTCTTTGTTGATAGTCACTTAGGTTGCTTCCATCTCTGTTATTGTGATAATGGCTGCAGTAAACATAAGTGTACATCCATCTGTGTGAGTCATGATTCTAGTTTCTTTAGGATATATAGTGGGATAGCTGAGTCAAATGGTATTTCTATATCCAACTCTTTGAAGAAGTGCTAGACCGCCTTCCACTGTGGTTGTACCATTTTACATTCCTACCGGCATTGTATGAGATTTCCAATCTCTCCACATCCTCACCAGGTTGTTTGCTGTCCTGTTGAACTTTGCTATTGTTGCCGGAGTGATATAATCTTGTTATTTTGATTTGCATCTCTGTAATAATTAGGGCATTTGAACATTCATGTATTTCTTTGTCATCTTTCTTTGGTGAAAGATCTATTCCTTTCATAGGTCCATTTTATAATTGGAAAGCCAGGATTTTTTGTTTGTTTGTTTTTGTTTTTGTTTGGAGGTATTTTTTTGAATGACTTCAATTTCTTCCTTTGTGATGAGTCTGTTGAGGTGTTCTACTTCAGTCAGTGTCAGTTTGCGCAGATTTTGCATTTCTAAATATTTGTCCATTTCTTCTAGGTTTTCATATTTGTTACAGTTTTTCATAAAATTATATTATTATCCTTTTTGTTTTCTGTTGGTCCAATTATGCCATCATTCATTTAATTTTTTATTTGGATTTTATGTCTTTTTTCTCTTTGTTAAGTTTGTCAGTGATTTGTTGATTTTACTGATTCTTTCGAAAAAGCAGTTCTTAGTCGTATTGATAATTTAAATTGTTTTTCTATTTTCTACCCAGTTTATTTCTACCTTATTTTTTTTAAGTCTATTTTATATTAGTTTGCTTACAAAGTTCATATACAATGTGTTTCACACTATTCTTAATCACATTGTGTTTCATACAATCATTCCCATTATATTTTATAAAATTAATCACCATTGGACTATGTCCACCATTACCCTGTCTTTTCAGGTCTCTACCTGATAGTTCTTATTTCTTCTACCTCCTCCCTCTACTGACCAAATTGTACAACTCTATGATTTTGCCCCTACCCTTCCTCACCCTTCTATTCCCACCCATTTCCTTGTTGGATCCCCATACATGTTTTTCTAGTTATTCTTCTATTTTTATAGTAATGGTGTTATGCTGTATTTGTCCTTATGAGAGTGAATTAGTTTACTCAGCATAAAGCTCGTCATTCTCTCACAAGTTATGTAGTATTTTTCAAAGTCATTGTTCCTGAGTGCTGTATAGTATTCCATTGTGTGAATGTACCACAATTTCTCAACCCATTCAGTTGGACATTTGGATTGTCCATGATCTTGTGATGGTAAATAACATTGGCTATGAACATTGGTGTACAGATCTCTGTTTGTGTCTCAATCTTAATTTCCTTTTGGTATATTCCAGTAGTGGAGTACCTGGGTTATATGGAGTTTCTATGTTCAACTTTTTGAGGAAATGCCAAACTCCCTTCCAGAGTGGTTGCACCATTATACAATCCCACCAGTGGTGTATGAGAGTTCCCACATCTCCACATCCACTCCAACATTAATTGCTTGCTGCGTTTCTAAACTTTGCCACTGCTACTGGGCTGAGATGGTAGCTCATCGTGATTTCATTTGCATTTTTCTTATTGCTAGTGATTTTGAGCATTTCTTCATTTCTGTTGGCCATCTAAATGTCTGTCTCTGTGCAAAGTGTTTCCATGTTTTTTGCCCATTTTATAATTGTGTTGTCTGTCTTTTACTTCTGGAGGCCCTGTAGTATTCTGCAAACTTTTTTCTGAGACCCTTGTCTGAGGTGATATTGCCAAACATTTTCCCCCCTAGTCAGTAGGCTTTCTTTTCACCCTATTGGAAAAAGTTTTTGATGCGCAGAGGGATTTCATCTTTATA